AGGCTTCGATCGGTGCAGGAGCCAGTGGGTGTGGCCGCTGGCTCGACGACCGGCATCTCAAGGTCAAGCGTCTCGACACTGACGTCGCGTGGGCGGTCGGATGGATGAGCTTGAACACCGTGACAGGTGATTCTGTCCGCCTCAGGCATCGATCGGTGCAGGAGCCAGTATGTGTGGCCGCTGGCTCGACGACCGGCATCTCAAGGTCAAGCGTCTCGACACTGACGTCGCGTGGGCGGTCGGATGGATGATCTTGAACACCGTGACAGGTGATTCTGTCCGCCTCAGGCATCGATCGGTGCAGGAGCCAGTAGGTGTGGCCGCTGGCTCGACGACCGGCATCTCAAGGTCAAGCGTCTCGACACTGACGTCGCGTGGGCGGTCGGATGGATGATCTTGAACACCGTGACAGGTGATTCTGTCCGCCTCAGGCATCGATCGGTGCAGGAGCCAGTGGGTGTGGCCGCTGGCTCGACGACCGGCATCTCAAGGTCAAGCGTCTCGACACTGACGTCGCGTGGGCGGTCGGATGGATGATCTTGAACACCGTGACAGGTGATTCTGTCCGCCTCAGGCATCGATCGGTGCAGGAGCCAGTAGGTGTGGCCGCTGGCTCGACGACCGGCATCTCAAGGTCAAGCGTCTCGACACTGACGTCGCGTGGGCGGTCGGATGGATGATCTTGAACACCGTGACAGGTGATTCTGTCCGCCTCAGCCATCGATCGGTGCAGGAGCCAGTATGTGTGGCCGCTGGCTCGACGACCGGCATCTCAAGGTCAAGCGTCTCGACACTGACGTCGCGTGGGCGGTCGGATGGATGATCTTGAACACCGTGACAGGTGATTCTGTCCGCCTCAGGCATCGATCGGTGCAGGAGCCAGTATGTGTGGCCGCTGGCTCGACGACCGGCATCTCAAGGTCAAGCGTCTCGACACTGACGTCGCGTGGGCGGTCGGATGGATGATCTTGAACACCGTGACAGGTGATTCTGTCCGCCTCAGCCATCGATCGGTGCAGGAGCCAGTGGGTGTGGCCGCTGGCTCGACGACCGGCATCTCAAGGTCAAGCGTCTCGACACTGACGTCGCGTGGGCGGTCGGATGGATGATCTTGAACACCGTGACAGGTGATTCTGTCCGCCTCAGCCATCGATCGGTGCAGGAGCCAGTGGGTGTGGCCGCTGGCTCGACGACCGGCATCTCAAGGTCAAGCGTCTCGACACTGACGTCGCGTGGGCGGTCGGATGGATGATCTTGAACACCGTGACAGGTGATTCTGTCCGCCTCAGCCATCGATCGGTGCAGGAGCCAGTGGGTGTGGCCGCTGGCTCGACGACCGGCATCTCAAGGTCAAGCGTCTCGACACTGACGTCGCGTGGGCGGTCGGATGGATGATCTTGAACACCGTGACAGGTGATTCTGTCCGCCTCAGGCATCGATCGGTGCAGGAGCCAGTGGGTGTGGCCGCTGGCTCGACGACCGGCATCTCAAGGTCAAGCGTCTCGACACTGACGTCGCGTGGGCGGTCGGATGGATGATCTTGAACACCGTGACAGGTGATTCTGTCCGCCTCAGGCATCGATCGGTGCAGGAGCCAGTAGGTGTGGCCGCTGGCTCGACGACCGGCATCTCAAGGTCAAGCGTCTCGACACTGACGTCGCGTGGGCGGTCGGATGGATGAGCTTGAACACCGTGACAGGTGATTCTGTCCGCCTCAGGCATCGATCGGTGCAGGAGCCAGTGGGTGTGGCCGCTGGCTCGACGACCGGCATCTCAAGGTCAAGCGTCTCGACACTGACGTCGCGTGGGCGGTCGGATGGATGATCTTGAACACCGTGACAGGTGATTCTGTCCGCCTCAGGCATCGATCGGTGCAGGAGCCAGTATGTGTGGCCGCTGGCTCGACGACCGGCATCTCAAGGTCAAGCGTCTCGACACTGACGTCGCGTGGGCGGTCGGATGGATGAGCTTGAACACCGTGACAGGTGATTCTGTCCGCCTCAGGCATCGATCGGTGCAGGAGCCAGTATGGTGTGGCCGCTGGCTCGACGACCGGCATCTCAAGGTCAAGCGTCTCGACACTGACGTCGCGTGTGCGGTCGGATGGATGATCTTGAACACCGTGACAGGTGATTCTGTCCGCCTCAGGCATCGATCGGTGCAGGAGCCAGTATGTGTGGCCGCTGGCTCGACGACCGGCATCTCAAGGTCAAGCGTCTCGACACTGACGTCGCGTGGGCGGTCGGATGGATGATCTTGAACACCGTGACAGGTGATGCTGTCCGCCTCAGGCATCGATCGGTGCAGGAGCCATTCGTGTGGCCGCTGGCTCGACGACCGGCATCTCAAGGTCAAGCGTCTCGACACTGACGTCGCGTGGGCGGTCGGATGGATGATCTTGAACACCGTGACAGGTGATTCTGTCCGCCTCAGGCATCGATCGGTGCAGGAGCCAGTATGTGTGGCCGCTGGCTCGACGACCGGCATCTCAAGGTCAAGCGTCTCGACACTGACGTCGCGTGGGCGGTCGGATGGATGATCTTGAACACCGTGACAGGTGATTCTGTCCGCCTCAGGCATCGATCGGTGCAGGAGCCAGTGGGTGTGGCCGCTGGCTCGACGACCGGCATCTCAAGGTCAAGCGTCTCGACACTGACGTCGCGTGGCGGTCGGATGGATGATCTTGAACACCGTGACAGGTGATTCTGTCCGCCTCAGGCATCGATCGGTGCAGGAGCCAGTGGGTGTGGCCGCTGGCTCGACGACCGGCATCTCAAGGTCAAGCGTCTCGACACTGACGTCGCGTGGGCGGTCGGATGGATGATCTTGAACACCGTGACAGGTGATTCTGTCCGCCTCAGGCATCGATCGGTGCAGGAGCCAGTGGGTGTGGCCGCTGGCTCGACGACCGGCATCTCAAGGTCAAGCGTCTCGACACTGACGTCGCGTGGGCGGTCGGATGGATGATCTTGAACACCGTGACAGGTGATTCTGTCCGCCTCAGCCATCGATCGGTGCAGGAGCCAGTGGGTGTGGCCGCTGGCTCGACGACCGGCATCTCAAGGTCAAGCGTCTCGACACTGACGTCGCGTGGGCGGTCGGATGGATGATCTTGAACACCGTGACAGGTGATTCTGACCGCCTCAGGCTTCGATCGGTGCACGAGCCCGTATGTGTGGCCGCTGGCTCGACGACCGGCATCTCAAGGTCAAGCGTCTCGACCACCAAATCCATCATTTAATTTAGTGAACGAAAATGTACTCACTAGTGACTAGTATGAAGATCCACCGATTGACCAACGGCAGATATCTCAGTACGACCCCCATACTGTTCCCCAATCTCCAACATATCAGAACACCAACCGTTAGACGAAAACTGTTTATGGGGTCAGGAGAATAATGAAATAGAAATTGACCAATAGGAAAATGACACCATTTCACGTTCAAGGATAGCATTAGACTTGACAAGATAATTTTTGTGATATTTTTCTGATGTTTCTCCTATGTGTATCTGATTGAAATAAGTTGCTTTAACACACTAGTATTTCGCTGTTATTACCACCAGAGCATGATTGGTTAACTGATGTATCGTATACGAAATTAGGTGAGGCATTAAATTTTGTCATAGTCGTCATCCATGAAGTCAACTAAGAGCTACGATTCATTGTCTTATGTAAAAACCTCGTCTCAATTACTATAATCGCGAGCAACAGGCAAGACACTTTCAACTGATATGACCAATAATGAGAGGCTAAAGAAGATATATTCGTTGGGTTTTTATCTCTAAGCTAAAAAGTTATACGACCGTTAGCGTAGTTGTACAAATGGTAATAGTAGTTTTAACACAGATAGTTGATGACTAACTGTTCTTTCATTAAAACAAATTAGACCCCCCCAAAACCGAAAAAAAATTGAAAAAGAAAATCACTGAAGAACTTTATTTTTCGAACTACATTTTTGTAAAAAAGAAAATTGAAAACTAACACTATTCATGAAGACTACTAACGTCATACCCGAATACAAACCACGTGAAGTCCCTTTCAAAAAGTATCATTACCAAGACGTCTACTGTCAGATAAATTGTTTACGAAAAGAGGCAAGAAAGATAACACATATATATAATTACTCTTTAAGTAGTACCTGGAGAGGTTCAATAAAGCCTAGATTAGGACCAACCAATGCAAATGCTGCTTGATGATTTGTCACAGTTTTGTTTAAAGCCTGATAATTTTATGAACATAAAAAATAGGTAGAAAAGTATTTAAAAAATTAAAATACGAAATAGTATAAGCAATGTATATTCAAGCATTTACAACTATCAAGGACGCGCAGTTGTATTGGTTTTAGAGCTATATGCTAGTGAGCTACAATGAAGCAGGAGTATATGAGTTACCCCCAGGTGACGGATCCAAAATAAGGTGAACCACACGTCAAGGATTACACCGCTAGCCACCATTCAGCTCTTCTTGAAGTGGCAATATCCGAGTAATCCGCACAGAATGAACACGTCAAAAGAGACTGGTCATCTGCAGTCATGAACATCAGTGTAGTAGTACATGAGGTTTTACAAAATATTACAAATCCTAAAATAAGACAAGTATTTGTAGTTGTCATTTTTATTTTCGAGACAAATTTTCCATTGCTAAAACCTACCTCCATGTGTTCCAAAATATTCATATAATTAAAAACAAACGTTTAACCATCTAAACAATTCCTAGTGTTTTAAATATTTATCTCTTTTTTAAGTCAATCTGCAATGATTGCTAGGTCGTCATCATATAAAATATGTGCACCGATTCTAATAAAAGTTAGTACTATCATTTCGGAATTCTTTAATAAAGATGCGTGTGGAAGGCGAACTTCAATATACACGGAAATCTAGCAACGTAATATCAACACTTGTAAACATAAATAATACAACCTATGTTTAAATGTGTGCTATTTCGCGTAAATATTCTAGTGTCAATCTGTTTTCATAATTCCCAATAACCAATTTCCTGAGTGATACTAAATCCATGTACTTTCATTTTGCGCGGCGTTGCTAGATTCTAACAACTAACTTTTTGGATTCAATTCGCGCAAACCCTGTTCTTTTTATAGTGCGTCAATGAATTTCTATGTTTCTGGATGAATGGGTCACTGTGTTGATTAACACAACTACCGATTCCCCAACACATTATTCGGTTTAGGGAGGTCTTCCACAACAAAACTGCAAGTGTCCCACCATACTATGGAAATTTGTATCGCTATGGCGTTCACATTTCAAAAGTCACCCATTCTTTGATAACCTTGTATCACTCTTCTAGTTCAACATACACTAATAAAAGTGGACGTTACCTACAAATACAATTAAAAGGCTTAACAAAATATCATTCGCATGAAAATTATATCCGATGGAACGTTATTAAAATAACTTGCTAATATTTCAATTCCTTGTTGATTTTCTATCTACAATCGTAGATCAAGAATGGGGCGAGTCAGCTCTTCCTCTCCAAAAGCTCTCACATGACCACGAGTATATATTCACTGCCACAGAAGTCATAACTACTGCCTTCTCATGGCATTACTGTTGTTTACGAAATCAAGAGGACAATGTCCGGCGCCTTAATCGGGTTGGTGGACAAAGAGGGTCCACCTACGGGAGTTGGAAAACCCTGATTACAAACCAGTGGTTCGCATGGACTCCAGTATCCTGAGGGAACAAACGGCGTATGAACTTATTGTTGGTCACCGGTTATCATGGGACTGCATCTCCTGACGTTGCTCTACTACCTTGTGGATCAGACCTTTAGGTGGAAGGCCCCAGGTGCGGAACAATAAGTAGATCACCTGCATCGGTCTGAGCAGCCGAGCAGTATCGTAGCCCGCACACAAATCAAGTGACTTGTGTGGCGCATATGTGTTTAGTGACCCGTTGTACCAATATTTATGTGTCCAAATAAATATATATATATATAATATCGACAATCGTAGCCCCATCAAGTGTCAAATCCAGTAACGATATCTGCGACCGACATAACGCTAATGCTGCCGATTGATAAACCTATTAATTAATGTGTTTATATGGTGTATAACAATGGTGAAGATTTGATGCTGTTGCTGTCTCCGTCATTATCTTATAGGAAACAGTCCGTCAGACACAACGTATGACCATTAACATATATGCATCTATCCAAGTCGCCACACCTCATTAACACAACAAGATGAACAACAAATTCATAGAAGTAATTATTTCAATGCTAGCAACATATAAAGTAAAGATTGTGTGTAAGGATATAATACAGGAAGAAAGAATTTGTTCGTAAAACGAAAGATCATTTTAATCTCACGGTTAAAGGGAAGACAAAGGGTGTATACGCCATTTTGATCGATTCTGAGCTGTGTGACACAGAGTCTCCAACCATTGCTTACGATAGTCGGGCGGATCCCAGACAAGTAGTCTACATCTACAAACATGGTTCAGACGGGAAGTTTGTGACTTCAAGCACCGGTGCCATGTTTTGGTTCAGTTGCCCTTAACTTTATTCCAACCCTCATTGCTACTTACACGGTGATTACAGAAAATGCGAGCAATATTTCTAAGACATCTGTGATCAAATACTGGTAGCTTACGAGTATCTTCTACTCTTAATGGCCACGTTTCGCAACCGTAAAGTAAAACAGAACGAACTGCCGCACGTTATACTCGCTCCTTGATTGATAGACGGACATCTCGCCTTCGCTCTCGAATGCCCTGGTACGGCCGAGAGTGGGGAGAGTCCGCTCTCCCTCTCGAAATACTCTCACATGGCCACGCGTATATAGCCTCTGCCAGGGAAGTCCTAATCACTGCCTTCACGTGGCGGGGGTGTTGTTTACAAAAATGAGAGGACGAAAAGCGAATTTCCGGCACTTTAACCGGATCCCAAACCAAAGGTGCACATGGGCTAGCTCCAGTATCCTGAAGGAACAAATGGTGTATGAACCAATCGTTGGTCACTGGGAATCGTCAGAGGTGCTTATTAGTTGGCTTTCGACAAAAAGTGAAGACCAATTTTGAAGTTTATTCTTGGAAATCAGTACTCAGAACTCGATATTAGGTTCATCAACTTTTTCAACAAAATTCCACGAATAATCAAGTCGCAAAAGCTACATTACGCTGCAACATCAAAATACGTTGAGTAGCAGATGATGGTGATATAAGTACATTCCAAGTCGACCTCCACTTTCTGGTAATCTGGCTCAAGATAGTCAATGACTGTCACGTGGCATTAAACACAACATTAGACAAACGTCCGTATTTTAGGTCTCAACTTACAGTGCTCCAAGGGCCAATTAAAGCAATGGTCTGAAAATCACGAATAACTCCCGTTTACTTCCGACTACATGTTTTGGGACCGTATGAACGTAAAGACAAACTTTAGTTGACTGTGTTCTCCACGGTTTAGGCAGCTCTAGTGAAGTCCAAACCGTAACATTGTACATAGCACACAAACAATTGTATGAATGGCGACTTCGAATCCGTTGGAAAAATTATAGACTGCTAACTTGATAGTTCCTTGGATATTTGGCTTATATTACGGGTTTTGGGAAGGTAAACCATCCCACACTATCTTGATGCAAATTAAGGCTATTAGTAGTGACATACTACAGCTGGACAGCCTTGTAGGGACACCACATAAGGTTGATAAGTCGGATAACGTAACAACGAACCCTGTGATACTGTATTTGGAAATACTCAATAAAATTCAAGTAACGCGGGATATTCACAGTCATCATAGTTGGATTTAAAGTTGGGTGTAGTTCGTTTAATTCATTGCGGATATGAATATTCAAATTTGTACTGAAGTTGTCCATTAGTTGTATTCCAATGGAATAATAGTATTGAATTCCACAAAATGAATTAAATAGATCTGGTTCGCTACCACATAAAACATTTTTGCCTCTAACAGTCATTTAGTATTTAGGCGATAGTTAGGGCATCCATCAACTTCGATTTGTTCAGTCATCGAACGGTCACGTCGTATGTGCTGAATCGTCTACGTCACCTGAATTACAGATGAAATTCGGACAGACAGTGAATCTCAAAAACTGGAAGATAACGTTAACCTGATCTAACATGTTGCCACTGTTGGTGCTGTTTGTTCTTTTACTATCCTGACTACTTTTTCGGATCCAACGTAGCTGATATTTGGTTCTTTCTTCACTCCGTCACCAATTGTTATAACTTTTGCCCTAATAATATATGACGTAATGATACCGCCAATTAGAGAACAGTGATTTATCCACCGGACTTGTACGAGCAGTCTAGGGTCTTTATCGGTTCTACTTCCTACCTAGTATTGACTGTTAGTCCAGAACATCAATCTCAGCCTCTGCGATATGAATCATATATTTCAAACAAACTGGGTTTATATACAAACCAAACAGACGACATCGTACCATATAAAAGAAAATAACATTTGTACAAGATTTAGCCAAACGTGGGAGACAGCAATTGATAGAGTGAGCATAACTCAACAATGGTGAATCGTATAATAATAGTTCATAGGTCAAAATAAAGCTTATAATAAGAGGGACACGAATATGAATAGTTTAGTTACTTAACAACTATACAATAAAAATATATGTGTAGTATTATTCCAGAAATAGATTCCAACAGATACCATTCATTATCAAGTGGATTTAAAGAAGATTTAAATTATAGAACTATTCTGCGGGGAATTATTGAGTATTTTCATAGTATGATTGTTAAGTACTGGAATTAATGTATTTCTATATTGTCTTATCTATAAGCGTTCATTAAATATGTTAACTTTCGAAACACCCCTTAGCATTCATAAATTACTATTGTTTAATTATTCTTATAATAAATAAACCAGAGTAATTGCATCTCAAAAGTCATCATTCGACCATATAATAGTCACGTTAATGAATTAATATCTTAATTAATTAATTAATATCTTCAACACGTTGTACATATTGTATCCATTAGTTCAATATCTAAGCTCATTTGAAAAGCGAGATAATCAATAAATTTTTACAAAAATAACTGGTAGATATAGCCACTTACATCATTAATAGATTTCAAGTCAACCTTATCCAAATCTGCAACTACTTCAATCGGTCTTATAAATTGATCAACTGATGATGAAAGCAAATTAGTAGAAATATCCACAAGAGAATTTAATGGGTTTTCGTATCTGAACATTAGATCAGCCTTTAGAGTTTGCCTAAATCCAAGACAATATATAATAATAACGAATCACTAATGAAATACAAACACATAGTCCGAACATATACACGAAATCATAATCCTGATATTAAGTAGTAAAATTTTACCGATTTATTCGAACACATAGATATTGGTACAAGAGGGCACCAGATACATATGCGCCATACAAATCTCATTTGATTTGTGTGAGGGCTGTGATACTGCCCGGGTGCCCAAACCGAAGCAGGTATTTTACTACTAAGATATAGGAAGTAAAATACCAATATCTTAGTGTAAAACTGCATGAATTTGACTACTTTAACTGAATAACAATGAAACGAGTTTTCAACCTGAGTCCAATTAATAAAATCTGAATCCTTAAATTAAATAAGTAAACTTCAACTGCGCAACACTTATCCACTGCAAATGACCTCACTATATGCTTAATATTTCCTAATTGAACGTACGAAACAGACATGTAGATGTCATTTACGATTATAGATGAGTAATATAAATGCACTTATTAAACACTTCATCACTATTTATTCACTGATATCATACGCGATACCATTGAGTGTAATTATAAAGATTTTTATGTATGTGAATCCTCCCTCTTACATCACACAGAAAGCAATAGAATTTTCGTAACAAGTAAGATAAGTAGTTGCACATTTTTAATTTAATTTATATCTAAGACAATATCACAGTTATTTCGTGCCTAAGATGAATATTTATCGTATTAAAAACATCATAATGCACTAGTAATAGAACAGCCTTACTTTGCTTGTTTGAGATTTTCCTCAGTAAAACATGAAGACCGTAAAACCGAAATGACACGCTTTATTCTAGATCCAACTGCTTTAGGACAAGCTCCAGCTACAGCGATACCAAAAAGACTATGATCGATATACAGTTTATGAAAAGCTGCAACTTCGGTTTCAATGTCTTCCTCTTCAGCGGTACGAGCTAGCAAGGATTTCGAAGCGTTTCCGCCATGCTCTATACGATTGGATGACCCATTCAATGCACAGACAATAAGACCACTAATTGTACAGGATACACGCATAGGCCATGCTAAGTAAGCGTACACTGTGGGCGCGGCATTCAAATCTCGTCGTATTTCACCTGAAATGAAAGTCGGTAAAATTAAACTAGTGTTAACTTTGAAGCAGTTAAGCTAATTACTACAGCGGGAAAAATAGTAAAAAATATACGACGTTAGATATATCTAAGACAATGGTGATTATAGTACTACTACTATTATAGGTAAGAAAGCAACAAATTGAAATTTAGTGATTTTTTATTATTTTTTGGACATCTGTTACTAAAAACTATACGTTTGAAGATTTTTAAATATACAATGCAAAATATTGTGTAACTAATAGCATTTTATTTGCAGTCCTAAGACTCCTAGTACAAAGTTTTATTCTAAAATGAAGACAATCAGTCTTCTACTGTTGTCACTCTGTGATGGAATAAAAAGTTAAAATTGCATTCCTTAATTCGTGATTTTTATCCAACAATCCAATATGATGAGTACTCAGAGTAATATTTCTTTTGTTTCTCAGTGTGATATTTTATTCGCTATATCAATTTATTTGAGTGTTATGACTTTGCCCCCAAATGCCCTGGTATGGCAGAGAGTTGGGTGGGCCCGCCCTCCCTCTCGAAATACTCTCACATGGCCACGCGTAAACAGCCTCTGCCAGGGAAGTCCTAATCACTGCCTTCACGTGGCGGGGGTGTTGTTTACAAAAATGAGAGGACGAAAAGCGAATTTCCGGCGCTTCAACCGGATCCCAAACCAAAGGTGCACATGGGCTAGCTCCAGTATCCTGAAGGAACAAATGGTGTATGAACCAATCGTTTGTCACCGGCTACCATGGGACTGCACCTCCTCACGATTCTCCACTCCCTTGTGGGTCAGACATTTAGGTCGAGGACTCGGGGTGTGGCCTCCTAAGAAAACCACCTGCTTCGGTCTGGGCACCCGGGAAGTATCACAGCCCACACACAAATAAAATGAAAATGATGATATTTACTGAAAATTCTCTTCTCGCCTCAATTTACGGTCAAACAATTCACAGTATTATTATTATTATTCACTACGTCATTTATCCACTCTCTTTTATTTTCACTTTGTGTATCCCTATTTTTCAACTTATACAGCAGCTCGCCAATTGTGGAAACTCTGTTCTACCTAAACGATCTCGAGTCACTGCCTGGTTGAAAATTGTATGCTACCACCGAATGCGAATACTGAAGCAGTTTTTCTGAAACTACGTGCACCATTCAAACAGGCTGCCTTTAAGGTTCGCACACTTATGCAGGTCGAACGACAGATAGGGCTGGCTATGTCTTAGGTTAGAAAGTTCCATTAAAGTGAGAAGAAATCGGTGTGAGAAACGATGTCTTTTCGTCATCTCCGCTTATGCCCCGACAGATTGCAGCCCGGATGCAATCAAGGATGAATTCTACCACCAGTTAACTGTTCTTCTCCAGAAAGTACGTTCGACAGACATTGTAGTACTAGCCAGAAACTTGAATGCTCAGGTCGGGCGTTTAGGCACAGAAGAGAATCGTTTAGGTGGCCGATGGGGACAGATAACCGCTTCGCGAAACGTCCCGCTTATAATCACTGGGTTTCTTCAGGTTACTTACAACTCATCGAAGCCCGTCCGTCTACTCCGGATGACCGTGAGTTTGACCACAAACGAAGGCTGTTACGTAATGAAATCAGTCAAAGCTTGTGTAACGACCAAGAAGCCTGGTGATCGGAGCGTGCTAATGAGCTGGAACCAGCAGCTGCATTTCGTAACTACCGGAAACTCTTCCATCTCATTCGAGCCACTGGCAGCAAGAAGTCTGGTGTGAGCGAAACAATCTGCGAGGATGACGGGATGCCAATCACTAACATACATCGACGTCTTGGACGATGGGCGGAATTCTTCGAATGGCAGTTTAACTGGCCTGCTGTTCCGACAACATCGGTCGGACTGTACTGCCCTCCATGGCCGGTGACGACTGATCCACCAAATGAGCGCTACAAATAACCGGGCTCAGATGAATTACCTCCGGCTCTTTTTAAAGATGGTGGTGACTTTCTGGCTAAGGAACTGACTATGTTGTTTACAAAGGTCTGGAAGCTGGAGAGTGTACCAACGTCATGGAATGAGTCGACAGTTGTCCCTATCTTTAAAAAGGGTTCACGTCGTTCCTGTAACAACTATCTGGGGGTAAGTCTACTTCCGATTGCGTCCAAGCTATTGGCTTTCGTCATCCTTCGTAGGTTGTTCGAAACCCGAGAAGGATTGACTCGCGAGGAGCAGGCTGGTTTTTCGTCCTGGTCGAGGATGTATTGATCATATCTTCACCCTCCGCCAAATGTTAGAACACCGTCATACTTATCGCAGGTCAAAAATCGTAGTGTTTCTTGACATCAGGGCTGCCTTCGATTCGTTGGATAGGACTGTTCTCTGGGATTGTCAATTTAAGAAGGGTGTGCCTGGGAAGTTTATCAACATCTGAAAGGCCCTATATACAAGCACCTCAGGTAGAGTGAGGGCATACAACCACCTTTCTCCATTGTTCCATTCAAACAACAGGATTAGACAGGTTTGCCCAATCTCACCATTCCTCTTCAACTTTTTCATCGATGACATTCTGAAAACAGCTCTGATGGATGTAAGTAATGACAGTGTGGATCTGTTGCCTGGAGAAAGACTTCTCGACCTTCAGTATGCGGATGATATTGTCTTACTGTGCGATAATACCCAAGCCATGCAATCCGCACTTAATCAGTTGGCAATCAATGTCCGTAGGTACGTATGTGCTTTGTACTTTCGAAGTACAAAGTACTTCTACAAGACTGACAGGATTCTAATCCTGTACTCACTCTAGATGGTGAGCAGATAGAACTCGTCGAGAAGTTCGTGTATCTGGGATGCTGCATAAGTACTGGTGGTGGCGTGAGTGATGAGATCAATGCACGTATAGTGAAAGCCAGAGCGGCTTATGCCAATCTGGGTCATCTTTGGCGCCTTTCGTGATGTTAGTCTGGCTGTAAAAGGTCGGATCTTCAACGCGTCAGTGAGAGCAGTTCTGCTCTATGCTTGTGAAACCTGGCCTCTCCAAGTTGGAGATGTTAGACAACTCTCTGTATCCGATTATCACTGTCTCCGAAGGATTGCTGACATCCAGTGGCAACACCATGTTACTAATACAGAGGTTTGGCATCGTGTGTTCGGGCGCAGAGACGATAATCCAATCGGTGTCACCATCTTGAAACATCGACTTCGGTGGCTTGGACGTGTTCTACGAATACCATCCCAGAGAATTCCACGTCGTGTATTATTTGCTCACGCTGGGACTGGTTAGAAAAGGCGAAGAGGTATGACATGGTGTCGGGATATGAAAGAAAGATGCAAAGGGCTGGCTTGTATTGATCCTTCAAGACTCCCTGGTTGAGGTCCGAGAGACGGTGTGACATAGTGGCTAGAGACGTTACCAGATATGGCTCAGAATAGAAACCAGGAGATCTTGCTGTAACTTTATTTTACTTTCTTCACGAAAAGTGGTTGTATCCTCCTTAACTGAAAGATTTCTTCTGGTTGTACCTTTCCGTTTCCCCCATTATTATTATTATTATTATTATTATTATTATTATTATTATTATTATTATTATTATTATTATTATTATTATTATATTACCTTACACTAATCTGGTCGTTATTACTCTCCTTTTTTTTTCTTTTACGCTTCTTGTCTTTTTTCTCTCCCCATTTTCATTGTTTTGTGTGGCGCATATATATTTGGTGCCCTCTTGTAACAATCACACACAGATCTTCCTATAAATGTCAATCCACCAACGACAGAAGAAATCAGAATGGCCGTCAGACAAATCAAGAGCGGGAAAGCAGCAGGACCTGACAATATACCAGCTGAAGCGTTGAAGTCAGACATCGAAGTAACTACAAGCATGCTTCATCTTCTATTCAAGAAGATTTGGGAGGAGGAACAAGTGCCGATGGATTGGAAAGAAGGACACCTCATCAAGATTCCAAAGAAAGGAGATCTGAGCAAGTGTGAAAACTACAGAGGCATTACACTACTGTCAATACCGGGCAAAGTCTTCAACAGAGTGTTACTGAACAGGATGAAAGACGCAGTTGACGCTCAACTTCGAGATCAACAAGCTGGATTCCGTAAGGGCCGGTCGTGCACAGACCAGATTGCGACACTACGGATCATCGTCGAACAATCAATTGAGTGGAACTCGTCACTCTACATCAACTTCATTGATTATGAGAAGGCATTTGACAGTGTAGACAGGAGGACGTTATGGAAACTTCTTCGACACTACGGAGTTCCTGAGAAGATTGTCAACATTATCCGGAACTCATACGATGGACTACAGTGCAAAGTAGTGCATGGAGGACAGCTGACAGACGCATTCCAAGTAAGGACCGGAGTAAGACAAGGCTGTCTACTCTCTCTCTTCCTGTTTCTCCTGGTGGTCGACTGGATTATGAAGACCTCGAAATCTGAGGGAAACCACGGCATACGATGGACAGCTCAGAACCAATTAGACGACTTGGACTTCGCAGATGACCTAGCCCTCCTATCACATACACACGAACAAATGCAGATAAAGACAGCCAGCATAGCAGCAGTCTCTGCATCAGTAGGCCTCAACATACACAAAGGGAAAACCAAGGTCCTCAAACACAACACGGAGAACAGCAATCCAATCACTCTTGATGGCGAAACTCTGGAAGACGTGGAATCCTTCACATACCTGGGAAGCATCGTCGATAAACAAGGAGGTTCAGATGCAGACGTCAAGGCGAGGATTGGCAAAGCTAGAGCGGCATTCCTTCAATTAAAGAACATATGGAACTCAAAACAACTTTCAACCAATATCAAAGTCAGAATCTTCAATACCAACGTCAAGGCAGTTCTACTGTACGGAGCTGAAACTTGGAGAACTACAACAACCACCATCAAGAAGGTACAGGTATTTATTAATAGCTGTCTACGCATGATACTCAACATCCATTGGCCGGAAACCATCAGCAACAGCCTTTTGTGGGAGAGAACCAACCAGCTTCCAGCTGAAGAGGAAATTAGGAAAAGACGATGGAAATGGATAGGACATACATTGAGGAAATCATCAAACTGCATTACGAGACAAGCGCTAACTTGGAATCCTGAAGGGGAGCGGAAAAGAGGAAGGCCAAAGAACATATTACGTCGGGAAATAGAAGCAGATATGAAAAGGATGAATAAGAACTGGAAAGAGCTTGAAAGGATTGCCCAGGACAGGGTTGGATGGAGAATGCTGGTGAGCGGCCTATGCTCCTTCACGAGGAGTAACAGGCGTAAGTAAGTAAGTAAGTGTAACAATATTTATGTGTTCGAATAAATAAATAATGTTTTTCCAAGATACAATATTCTTGAGTTAAATAAACATGGACTAGGTTCAGCATGACATGCAGCACATGATTCGTCATAGCTCTGGGTATTTTTCATATTTATGCTTTCATTCTAATCAATAATCAAAATGGGTGTACAATCAACATATAAATGAGTGTATCTTCGACTACGGTCATCGTGGTATTTTTGGGTTAATAAATCTTCACTTGTGCCAGTCTTGGTGTCCTTTATCTTCTTTTCAAATCTATTCCACTGGATTATGCTCCTTAAATAACATCATCAAACCCGAATGTTCCCTATTACTACTTATACTTTCAGTACCTCTACCACTATGGGATTTGAATCGATAACTGAATCTCTGTGCCAATGTGGTATGGCAACTCGAACTGATGTACGTACGTACGAAGTTCCACGTTGTTACTGACTGACTGACTTGGTGTGCTTAAGTCGTATCGTGGAAATCGCAGCGATTTTGATAGTTTTGTTCTCTGAGCTGGATGGTTTAGTCGTGGAGCTTCCACGATTATTCTGAACGACACATTAGCACAAACTTTAAGTAGAAGTGAACTCTGTGCTGATAATGTCATGATTTTATGTACTTTCAACCATTTGGCAACCTGTCTCTTTCTTGGGGGGTTATTATAAGATCAACCTAAAATATTTAAACAATATGTTTTTATTAAGAGATGAAGAGAAAAAGCATGGCGTTTTGAACACCACACATCACAACAATAAATCAAGAATAAATTAACCAAGTAATCCTTTGGAGGTCTTCAAGTGAAATTAAAAGCACATTTTTAAATATAACAGGCTGCTATTCGATCCCAGCAACAGAAATACTTAATGTAATACCTTGTCACTCAAACCCAAATAAACAGACCTCACCTCCAATAAACCCATAACCGCCTGAACCAATTTCCTCATGTGCAGGATTGAGATGAATGCTACTTTTCACCTTATCTAATATATCCATTCCATTTGTGTCGGTATGAGGATGAGCAATGCCTAAAACGCACTTCTCTCCAACAAAGCCGCGCGAATGATATTCATTTATTTGATCAATCGAGTGAGATCCGATACGATCAGCTGGTGAAATCAGTGAATATCCTAAACCACATCCTGAGTCACTGGTACCAAAAGCTGCTTCATGCAGCAACTCCATACCCACTTGACAGATGAAAAGATAAAGATAAAAAATAAATTTCATGTAAAAGATTTCAAAGTAGATAAAAGTTCGTTTGATAAGTTATGCCAATACAATGAGAAGTGCAGTTTTATTAGAACTACGTGGTACGTTAGAGTACTACGTTTTGAACAGTTCGGTAATGCCCTACCATCCACCACGTACATATCATTTCAATAGCTAACAGACTGATCATCCTAAACAGATCGGCATTCGCGAATTGGCTGGACTTTAGAATGCTACAAAGCAGTAAGCAGACCAAGCTAAAACACCAACAATCAATTCACTGGAAAGTGTAGATGAGAACTACCTGTATTTTGACTACGTTATGAAAATGATGTCGCTTTAAGCCTATGGAAATATCCCGCTAATAAGCGACGGATTGATAAAGGTTAATTAACGTAAGCCTCGAAAGATTCCCCTGTCTTTAAAAAGGGCTTACGTCACCTACGCAACAACTATCGGAAGATAAGTCTACTTCCGACTGCGTCCAAACTATTGGCTAACGTCATACTCTATAAATTGTTCAGAGCCCGTTAAAGATTGACTTGCGAGGAGCAGGCAGGTTTTCCTTCCGATCGAAGATGTATTAATCATATCGTAATCCTCTGTCGAATGTTAAAACACCGCCATGCTGACTTACAAGCTAACAATCGTTGCTTCTTGATATCAGGGTGATGTATTCATACGCCGTGCTGGAGGTTTGCTACTCCGACTTCAACACTGCGAACGAAACTACTTTATTCTTTTCCCTTTCCTCCCCACTAACTAGACCACAAACACTAGTCTTGTAGACGAAGGTTTTCATGTTAACCCATTATAATCAATCAAAATATATTAAGTTTATCGATCGTATATCAACAAAAAAATGATTAGAATATCTAAACTGAGTAGGTAATGCCGTATATATGTTATCTGGAGAACGACATTTTGACCTTGAGTATGAGAACAATAGTCTTACTGTGTGATGGTACTCAAACTATACAATCTGAAAAATATATAACTATCTACCCAATGCTCAATCTATTTGAAATTATCAAGTTCAACCTTGGCGTTGATACCCATATGCAATCCGAACCTAATCAGCTGGGAAGCAATGTCCGTAGATATGGAATTTTCTTTGCACCCTCTAAATGCAAAGCACTTTTACAAGGCTGACAGGAGCCTGTGCCTGTACTCACTATTTGCGGTAATCCGTTGGCAGTAGTTGGAAAGTTCGTATATTTTAGTAGCTGTTTAAGTGCTACTGGTGGCGTAACTGATGAGACCAATTTACGCTTAGTGAATGCTAGAGAAACCCATACCAATCTGAGTCACCTTGGGAGCCGTTGTGATGTTAGTTTGGTTTTAAAGTATCAAAATTTACAATACGTCGACTAAAGTAGCTTTGCTCCATGCTTGTGAAGCTCGATCCATCCAAGTTGAGGGTGCTCGATGACTCTCTGTGTTCGATCGTCGTTGTCCCCGAAGGGTTGCTGACATTTAATGACAACAATATGTTAGTAATGCGGAAGCCTGGTGATGTGTGTTCCGCCACAGTGACTTTAATTCAACTGGCGTTACAATCTCGAAACACTGGCTTCTACATCGTGCAGTAATTACTGACTCCGGGACTGGGTGGAAAAAGCGGACAGGTGGTCAGTTTATGACATGGCGTCGTGGCATGAAAGCTTTATAGGATTAGCATGCCTGTCCACCACAGCTCCTTGGTTAGGGCTCCAGTGATGGTGCTATTCAATGGCTTAAGGCGTTATTAGACGTAATTCAGAAAGAAAATGAGACAAGCTGACTTAACGGGAAGAATTATATTTTGGTTGAACTTTTAACCGAACTGTATCTCTTGCCATATTCTATTCTTGTTCACTTATTTTCCATTCAATGCACTTGTCCTTTATCTCTTCAAAACTTAATAATCTTGTTTGTGGCGAATTTCGATGCATTACTATACCATAAATTTATGTGCTTCAAAAAGATATAAAAAAACAATGTGAATTTTGTGTGACACAATGTAATATTTCATATTTTCTAATTAAAATTTTAGGTAATAAGATGTAACAGCACTTTTGTGTATAGGATGACATCACTTGACAAGTCAACTTACATTCATTTAAATTGCGCCGGTTGAGAATATCAACATCTTTGGTCATTAACTTGTAGACAATGTCTTTCAGTTCCCATGCATAATAACATGGAGATGAAGCCATAGAGCATAAAAGGAAACCAGCGCGGGAAGCAAAGTTTGGTGCGACATCTACTGTGTAGATCATATGTTCACGGGTTGTAGCGCACCTGCAAAGAAAAGCAGAATGATTAGCAATCAGAGGAGCATAATACTGGAAGAACTTATGATTGTGAACATTCAGTGGCTTGAAATTTAATACTTGTTGAAGTGAGTCGTTTGAGAGTCAAAACAATATTTATTTATCGTTCACATATTTAGAAACGGCCTGAAATCATCTATGCAACAACTATAGGTGGATAAATATACTTTCAATTGATGAATGCCAATATTTTGGAAGCATACCTGGTTGGTGGATATGGAGAATTTATCTATGAGATGGGAAATTCTGGTTCTAAAACAATGGAGTAAATGCGTTCAAGAAACCTGATGAGTCGAATGGTGTATAAACCTAATCCTGCTCATCGGCCACCATGGAACCGCAACTTCTGACTCTACCACTTTGTGGGTTAGACCTTTAGGTCAGAGGCTAGGAAAGTGATTCACAAAGAAAACCACCTGCTTCGGACTAGCTTCCTGGAAAGTATCCTAGTCCGGGGAAGTCTGGTGTAAGTGGAACAATATGTAAAGCATATCCGGCGTAAATCAAAAAGATCCAGCGAAGTACTTCACGATGATCGGAGTTCACTGACATACAATATATTTTGTCTGACGGCCCAATGGTAATGATTATATATCCCTACTATCAATGGCAGTAATGAATAAACCACCTACACAGATGAAAGTAAGCAACAAACTCCAAGACCGAAGGCACCGAAACATCATAACCCAGACGACTTACATCTCAAATGCCCTGGTGAGACCGGGGGTAGAGAGAGCCAGATTTCCCTCTCGAAATGC